CCCCTCTTCCAACTGCTCCGGCTGTTCCAACTGCCGCGCAACGTTGTTATTGAATATATGGATTATTTTTGTTCATCCTGCTTATTTTTGATTATCTTGATTGTTTTGGAGTGTGCATCGCTGTTTTGACGGATGTCTTGAGTTTTTCGGAGAGTCTTGAGTTTTCTCAAGCGTCTTGACTAAAACTCAAGACGCGCGGGCGCGTCTTGAGTTTCTCAAGACGGCCGATGTCAGGGCTGCAGAAGGCGCAAGGAAAGACGCGTAAACGGCGCGAGGGTCAGATCCACAATCGAGTTCGTTCGTGGCTTCCGAACCAGACAAAGTCAGCGAAGAGGAACAACACATGTCATCAATCTTACGCCTATGTCCCAGGGTGCTTTTGAATGTCCACTGTAGCTCCCAATTCATCTCGTCGCCATTCGCTGCGTGCGTGTCGTTTTCCGATGTCAAGCCAGAGAGGGGATTCCCACGAACGCCACAATGCAGCATGGCATTGAAATCGCCAATCAAAAGGACGTGCCGTTTCTGCCGAGTCGGCTCCGCCATCAAATGTCGCAGCCCAGCATAGAACGTACCCAAATCCGCTTTTTCATGCCCGGCGTGTGGAGCATAGACGCAGATCACCCGGGAGTATTGTCCATTGTTGTCAACGTCCACCAACAATTGCCTGTCAGAAAATTTACGAATATGAGTGACTTTGTTAGCGAGGCGAGAATGGAGAAGGATCAATGTACCTAGGCGTCTCACGTGAGCATCTGCGCTCGATATTAAGCGGTGCCCTTTTGCCCAGATGTCGTCGCCATCAGCTGCCCGTGTCTCGCTGAAGCCAACGACGTCCCAGAAGATCCCGTTCAATTCGGCAAGCAAATTCAACAGTCTTGTCGGAAAATTGGTTCTTGCAGTCTTGCAGAAAACCTTGACAACTGTAGATAAGTTATGTGCAGGATACTTTTGGTAGCCTCGTGGTTGTCCCGTTGTTGTTCCGTGGTTGTATGGTTGTCCCGTGGATGTTGCGCGCCTAGGGAGTAATGCCAGTAAATAATTACATCGAATGATTGGCTTTCGGATCGAAGTGCAGGTTTGTTGGCTTTTTGGTGGTGAGGTCGATCGATCAGCGTATCCCCGCCAGCGTGCGAGAGGAGCAGGCGTTGTCAGTTGCAGTGGTCAGGGGCGCTGCTGAGCGAGATTGTGGTCGCGAAGCTGGAACCCGCTAACATGGCCTCAGTGGCTGTGTACAACGCGTGCGAGAAAAGCAGGCGTCGGTTTTGACGGCAACCCGTGGTGCTGCTGAACGACATGACAACTGTGATGATGCAGCCCAGCATCAGCACCTACGGCACTGTGGACAGCGAGTGCGAGATGAACAGACGTTGGCTGGGGCAGCAGGTCGCGGCACTGCTGAGCCAGATGAGGAACGCGAAGCGGGGGCGCAGCACCCTCGCCTACAGCACCCTGAACAGGCTTGCGAGGAGAGCAGGCGTTGCCAGGGGCAGCAGTTGGCGGCGTCGCTGAGCGAGATGGTGGGCGTGCGGCTGGAGCCCAGTATCATCGCATACGGCGCCCTCAACAGCGAGTGCGAAAGGAGCAGGCGTTGCCAGAGGCAGAAGGCATGGCGCTGCTGAGCGAAATAGCAAGACGTGAAGCTGGAGCCCAGACCACCACCTACGCGTTGGCAGTGGCAGCAGACTGTGGTGCTGCTGAGCGAGACGGCAGACGTGAGATGGAGCCCAACACCATCACGTTCGGCACCCTGATAGCGCGTGCGAGAAGAGCACGCGTTCGCAGTGGCAGCTGCCTCGTGCTCAGCGGCGGGGAGTGCAGTGGCCGCGGCTGTGGCTCGGTGGGGGGAGATGAAGTGCACGGCGATGGCTGCGGCAGCGCGTTGGGGGGAGGTGGGGGCGGCCGTGGCAGCCCTCGGCATCAGGTTATGGGAAGCGAACGCGTGCGGACGGCCATCGGCCGTATCCCAGGCTTTCCCACGCGACGGCTTTCGACCCGCCTCGCGTGCCTGTTGGCCATTGTTCCCCCGCCAGCCCATGCAGAAACGGTGCCCCGATCGATCTGCGCGCTCTGGCGACTAAGGTTCTCGTGGCAGCCGTCAGCTGCACCCTGGTTCTCCAAATTTTACGCAGCCGTCAGCTGCGCCCTGGCCTTCATCTGCTTGATAGAGGAGCACGGGCGGCCGTCAGCCGCATCCCTGGCACTTCCATCGAGCGGATCCGAAGAGGCTGACAGCCACCCTGACGACCACCTCCCCGGAGGATGCAGGCGGCCGCCAGCTGGGACAGAGGCGGCCCCCCGAGACAGAGCTCGGACTGCGCCGTCCTCCCAGGAGGCGCGGCGCCCTGCAGTCGCAATTGGGGGGGCCCTCGCAGCCCCGACGCCCCTCTGGCCTCCGCCTGTCCTCCTCCCCCTCTCTCTTCCCCTCGCCTTTCCTCCGCTGCGGTTGCCCCCGAGGGGGTCGGCGGATTCGGGGGCGAACGGAATCGGGCGGCCGTCGGCCGCGTCCCTGGCAGCCCCCCACTTCCAAACGATCAGACGGCCATCAGCCGCGAGACGGAGCACCGGTCCAGCGCTGAGGCTCTGGCTGACGCCAGCGGCCCCACCGGGGTCACAGGACCAGAGGGTGGACGCGGCGAGGGGGCGCCCGGGGCACCGAGTGCAGATTGGACGCTGGGGGGGCCCTGCGGGTACAAGGGGCGCCGCGAGGATGGAAGTCAGTCTTCCCGCTGCGGGCGAGGATTGTCCTCATGCCCCCCCCCTTGGCCGTGGAGTTCGCGTGCTAACCTGTGCGGCCGTCAGCCGCTCCCTGGTTCTCTGCTTCTCTCCTCTCTTCCTCGTTGCACGGACGGGATGGCCATCTGCCATTCGTCCCCGTGCGCGAGGATAGGGCTGCCGTCGGCCGTGCGTTCTCGCAGACTAGCGTCTTCAGCTCGCATGGCCGCTGGCCGTCCCCCGGCGCTGAGTTTTTCTTCTTGGCCCCTCTCGCCCTGGCCGGCAGGCGATGTCAGTTCCCACCCGCCCACGCCACGCGAGGGTCTCATAAGGACAGGGCGGCCAGTTGCCACATGACCCTGCAGCCTCGCATCGCTGTGTGGCTAGCCGCCCCACTGGTGCTGGACACCTCTGGTGGGCGCCTCTCTATCGCCGGCCTGGTGATGTCCGTTCCCACCTGCCCAGTCCGCCCTCCCGCGCAATGCGCGGCCCCCTCCGTGCGGCGTCCACGACGCGCACCCCTGGCCAGGCTCCCTGGTGCAGTCGCCCCCTGGGGCCTGGTCTATACTCGCAGCTGCCGCCCGGGTCTGGCGTCGACTTCGGGGTTTACGTGATGTGTCGCGGAGTGGTGCAGCCTTCCAGCAGACGCCGTGCTTCCCCACTGGCGCCCTGTCCCCGCCTATTTGGCTTGTGCCTCGCCGCAGCTGTGGCCCTGGCCCTTGGCGCCCTGCGGCGATATGGTCAGACTGTACCTGGTCACTCCTGTCCATGGTACCTGAGCTCGAATGCGTGGCTTCCAGCTCCCTGCAGTGGATGCGCTCCGCTAGTTTGAGACGTGGTCGCAGGTGCAGAGCCGATCATGCTTTCCTGGCGTGCAGGACTAATTCCAACTTTTGCGTCTTTCAGCCTCCGTCATGCACGTTGCACCAGCTACCCTGGGCGTCTGCAGACTTCCCAGCCAGCTCCCCCCCGCAGCGGCCCCCCGGCAGCCGCTTCTGAGTGCTGGCCTGGCCGTCTCGCGCGTGGCTCGGTAGTTAATTAGGCTGGCCCGTGCCCCGGACCCCCCTCTCGGCAACTGCTGTACGCGTCTTCCCGCTGACCAAAAAAAGTATCCCCACCAGCCCATCCAGAAACGATGCCCAGGCGAGTAGAGGGTCGTCCAGAGGGGATTTTCGGCGTCTTGGGTGCCTCTGGGGGGTCTCTTGGGGCCGTTTGGGATCCTCTTGGGGGCCTCGTGGGGGCCTCTTGGGGCCTCTTGGGGCCATCTTGGGGCCTCTGGGGGCCTCCCTGGCGCTTCTTGGGGCCATCTTGGAGGACATCGATCAAAGAAGAGGGACGCTTCAATTAGGATTGCCACCTCAGGAGGCCAATATGGGGCCAAAACCATAGTCAAGCAATGATTTTGGCTTCAAAAAAGAGGGAGCTTCAATTAGGGTTGCCCCTCAGGAGGCCCAAATGGGGCCAGCACGTGGGTCAATTCAATGATTTTGGCTTCGAAGAGGAGCGGAGCATTGATTAGCCTTGCCCCCCCAGGAGGCCAACATGGGGCCAGCACCCTAGTAAAATTGATGATTTTGCCTTCCCCGCCGAGGCCGTTTTGGACGCCCTGACCGCTCGAGGCCCCCCCCGTCCAGATCCACGGGGAGGGGGTGGGGGGAGGGGTAAACCCCTCCCCGAAGGGGAAAAAGGGAGGGGTGGAAGAGGAAACGCTCTATACCACCGAAGTCCCGAGGGCAGGTGGGATTTAGGGAGGTCGATAGGGAGATATCGAGGTCGTTATCTACAGATCGCGAATCCGATCGGGCGCCAGTCGCGAACCGAAAGATGCACCCACCCATCCCCCGCCGCCTTTTTCTCACCCGAAATGGGTGGTCCTATCGTCAGGTTCATTCCGTTACCCTGCCGTTACGATTGGAGCCCTTGGCGGCTCTTCGTGCATCGTGCTTCACGTGCCGAGGGTTCTTTTATGGACAAGAACACGTCAGCGCAAGCCCACGTCTAACATATCATCGACCCGCGGGATACGGGATAAGGGGACTAGGGTGGGGGAGGATAGAGGAGCGGGAGGGCAAGGGGATGATACGAGGCCTCTGACGTCGTGACGCGGGCCCCAGATCTTTCGTTGCTTCCACAGCATTCGTTTTCCCCTTTGGATCGTTTTCATTAGGTCCACAGGTGTCGAAATTGGCGACCCGA